TGGTGGTGATGGTGGTGATGGTGGTGATGGTGGTGGTGATGGTGGTGGTGGTGATGGTGGTGATGGTGATGGTGGTGATGGTGGTGGTGGTGGTGGTGATGGTGGTGGTGGTGATGGTGGTGGTGGTGATGGTGGTGGTGGTGATGGTGGTGGTGGTGATGGTGGTGGTGATGGTGGTGGTGGTGGTGATGGTGGTGGTGGTGGTGATGGTGGTGGTGGTGGTGATGGTGGTGGTGGTGGTGGTGATGGTGGTGGTGATGGTGATGGTGGTGGTGATGGTGGTGATGGTGATGGTGGTGGTGGTGATGGTGGTGGTGGTGATGGTGGTGATGGTGGTGATGGTGTGGTGATGGTGGTGGTGATGGTGGTGGTGGTGGTGATGGTGGTGATGGTGGTGGTGGTGGTGATGGTGGTGGTGATGGTGGTGATGGTGGTGGTGGTGATGGTGGTGATGGTGGTGGTGGTGATGGTGGTGGTGATGGTGGTGGTGATGGTGGTGGTGATGGTGGTGGTGGTGGTGATGGTGGTGGTGATGGTGGTGGTGATGGTGGTGATGGTGGTGGTGATGGTGGTGGTGGTGATGGTGGTGGTGATGGTGGTGATGGTGGTGGTGGTGATGGTGGTGATGGTGGTGGTGGTGATGGTGGTGGTGATGGTGGTGGTGATGGTGGTGGTGATGGTGGTGATGGTGATGGTGGTGATGGTGGTGGTGGTGGTGGCGGTGATGGTGGTGGCGGTGATGGTGGTGATGGTGGTGGTGGTGATGGTGGTGGTGGTGGTGATGGTGGTGGTGGTGGTGATGGTGGTGATGGTGGTGGTGGTGATGGTGGTGATGGTGGTGGTGGTGATGGTGGTGGTGATGGTGGTGGTGGTGGTGATGATGATGGTGGTGGTGGTGGTGATGGTGGTGATGGTGGTGGTGGTGATGGTGGTGGTGGTGGCGGTGATGGTGGTGGCGGTGATGGTGATGGTGGTGATGGTGGTGGTGGTGGTGATGGTGGTGGTGGTGATGGTGGTGGTGGTGGTGATGGTGGTGATGGTGGTGGTGGTGATGGTGGTGGTGATGGTGGTGGTGGTGGTGATACTGGTGATGGTGGTGATGGTGGTGGTGGTGGTGATGGTGGTGATGGTGATGATGGTGGTGGTGATGGTGATGGTGGTGATGGTGATGATGGTGGTGGTGATGGTGGTGATGGTGATGGTGGTGATGGTGGTGGTGGTGGTGGTGATGGTGGTGATGGTGGTGGTGATGGTGGTGGTGGTGATGGTGGTGATGGTGGTGGTGGTGGTGATGGTGGTGGTGGTGATGGTGGTGGTGGTGGTGATGGTGGTGGTGGTGATGGTGGTGGTGGTGATGGTGGTGGTGGTGATGGTGGTGGTGGTGGTGATGGTGGTGGTGGTGGTGGTGATGGTGGTGGTGATGGTGATGGTGGTGGTGATGGTGGTGATGGTGATGGTGGTGGTGATGGTGGTGATGGTGGTGATGGTGGTGGTGATGGTGGTGGTGATGGTGGTGGTGGTGGTGATGGTGGTGATGGTGGTGGTGGTGGTGATGGTGGTGGTGATGGTGGTGATGGTGGTGGTGGTGGTGATGGTGGTGATGGTGGTGGTGGTGATGGTGGTGGTGATGGTGGTGGTGATGGTGGTGGTGATGGTGGTGATGGTGGTGGTGGTGGTGATGGTGGTGATGGTGACGCTCACCACGCTCCTCACCACGCTCCTCACCACTCACGCTCCTCACCACGCTCCTCACCACGCTCCTCACCATGCTCCTCACCACGCTCCTCACCACGCTCCTCACCACGCTCCTCACCACTCACGCTCCTCACCACGCTCCTCACCACGCTCCTCACCACAGTCACCACCACGCTCCTCACCACGCTCCTCACCACGCTCCTCACCACGCTCCTCACCACACTCACCACCACGCTCCTCACCACCCTCACCACCACGCTCCTCACCACGCTCCATCACCACGCTCCTCTACCACGCTCCTCACCACGCTCCTCACCACGCTCCTCACCACTCACGCTCCTCACCACGCTCCTCACCACACTCACCACCACGCTCCTCACCACGCTCCTCACCACGCTCCTCACCACGCTCCTCACCACACTCACCACCACGCTCCTCACCACACTCACCACCACGCTCCTCACCACGCTCCTCACCACGCTCCTCACCACGCTCCTCACCACGCTCCTCACCACGCTCCTCACCACGCTACCTCACCACTCACGCTCCTCACCACGCTCCTCACCACGCTCACCACTCACGCTCCTCACCACTCACGCTCCTCACCACGCTCCTCACCACGCTCCTCACCACGCTCACCACTCACGCTCCTCACCACTCACACTCCTCACCACGCTCCTCACCACGCTCCTCACCACGCTCCTCACCACGCTCCTCACCACGCTCCTCACCACAGTCACCACCACGCTCCTCACCACGCTCCTCACCACGCTCCTCACCACGCTCCTCACCACGCTCCTCACCACGCTCCTCACCACACTCACCACCACGCCATCCTCACAACGCTCCTCACCACGCTCCTCACACGTCCTCACCTCTCCTCACCACGCTCCTCACCACGCCACCTCCTCACCACGCTCCTCACCACGCTCCCTCACCAACTCACGCTCCTCACCACGCTCCTCACCACAGTCACCACCACGCTCCACACCACGCTCCTCACCACGCTCCTCACCACGCTCCTCACCACGCTCCTCACCACAGTCACCACCACGCTCCTCACCACGCTCCTCACCACGCTCCTCACCACAGTCACCACCACGCTCCTCACCACGCTCCTCACCACGCTCCTCACCACGCTCCTCACCACAGTCACCACACGCTCCACACCACGCTCCTCACCACGCCTCCTCACCACAGTCACCACCCACGCTCCTCACCACGCTCCTCACCACGCTCCTCACCACGCTCCTCACCACGCTCCTCACCACTCACGCTCCTCACCACGCTCCTCACCACGCTCCTCACCACAGTCACCACCACGCTCCTCACCACGCTCCTCACCACGCTCCTCACCACGCTCCTCACAACGCTCCTCACCACACTCACCACCACGCTCCTCACAACGCTCCTCACCACGCTCCTCACCACACTCACCACCACGCTCCTCACCACGCTCCTCACCACGCTCCTCACCACGCTCCTCACCACACTCACCACCACGCTCCTCACCACACTCACCACCACGCTCCTCACCACGCTCCTCACCACGCTCCTCACCACGCTCCTCACCACGCTCCTCACCACGCTCCTCACCACGCTCCTCACCACTCACGCTCCTCACCACGCTCCTCACCACGCTCCTCACCACAGTCACCACCACGCTCCTCACCACGCTCCTCACAACGCTCCTCACCACGCTCCTCACCACACTCACCACCACGCTCCTCACAACGCTCCTCACCACGCTCCTCACCACACTCACCACCACGCTCCTCACCACGCTCCTCACCACACTCACCACCACGCTCCTCACAACGCTCCTCACCACGCTCCTCACCACGCTCCTCACCACGCTCCTCACCACGCTCCTCACCACGCTCCTCACCACGCTCCTCACCACGCTCCTCACCACTCACGCTCCTCACCACGCTCCTCACCACAGTCACCACCACGCTCCACACCACGCTCCTCACCACGCTCCTCACCACAGTCACCACCACGCTCCTCACCACGCTCCTCACCACGCTCCTCACCACGCTCCTCACCACTCACGCTCCTCACCACGCTCCTCACCACGCTCCTCACCACAGTCACCACCACGCTCCTCACCACGCTCCTCACCACGCTCCTCACCACGCTCCTCACCACACTCACCACCACGCTCCTCACAACGCTCCTCACCACGCTCCTCACCACACTCACCACCACGCTCCTCACCACGCTCCTCACCACGCTCCTCACAACGCTCCTCACCACGCTCCTCACCACACTCACCACCACGCTCCTCACAACGCTCCTCACCACGCTCCTCACCACACTCACCACCACGCTCCTCACCACGCTCCTCACCACGCTCCTCACCACACTCACCACCACGCTCCTCACCACGCTCCTCACCACGCTCCTCACCACGCTCCTCACCACGCTCCTCACCACGCTCCTCACCACGCTCCTCACCACGCTCCTCACCACGCTCCTCACCACTCACGCTCCTCACCACGCTCCTCACCACGCTCCTCACCACGCTCCTCACCACGCTCCTCACCACAGTCACCACCACGCTCCTCACCACGCTCCTCACCACGCTCCTCACCACAGTCACCACCACGCTCCACACCACGCTCCTCACCACGCTCCTCACCACGCTCCTCACCACGCTCCTCACCACAGTCACCACCACGCTCCACACCACGCTCCTCACCACGCTCCTCACCACAGTCACCACCACGCTCCTCACCACCCACGCTCCTCACCACGCTCCTCACCACGCTCCTCACCACCCTCCTCACCACGCTCCTCACCACGCTCCTCACCACGCTCCTCACCACTCACGCTCCTCACCACGCTCCTCACCACGCTCCTCACCACGCTCCTCACCACTCACGCTCCTCACCACGCTCCTCACCACGCTCCTCACCACGCTCCTCACCACTCACACTCCTCACCACACTCCTCACCACGCTCCTCACCACCCACGCTCACCACAGTCACCACCACGCTCCTCACCACGCTCCTCACCACGCTCCTCACCACAGTCACCACCACGCTCCACACCACGCTCCTCACCACGCTCCTCACCACGCTCCACACCACGCTCCTCACCACAGTCACCACCACGCTCCACACCACGCTCCTCACCACGCTCCTCACCACAGTCACCACCACGCTCCTCACCACCCACGCTCCTCACCACGCTCCTCACCACGCTCCTCACCACGCTCCTCACCACGCTCCTCACCACGCTCCTCACCACGCTCCTCACCACTCACGCTCCTCACCACGCTCCTCACCACGCTCCTCACCACGCTCCTCACCACGCTCCTCACCACGCTCCTCACCACGCTCCTCACCACTCCTCTGCTGGTGCAGCAGCAGGAGTTGTGGCCGGGCTGACGGGAGGGGGTCCATGCCCAACACTTTGTGGACCTGGCCAAACGCCATCAGGCGCAGGGCATGCTGGTGGAGGTACACACACAGTGCGTACAGTAAGGACAGTGCGGACAGTACATACAGTACGCACAGTGCGTACTGTACGTACAGTGTGTACAGTGTATACCGCGCACCCAGCACATACAGTACACAGTGCGCACAGCACATACAGTGCATACAGTACGTACAATGCATACAGCACATACAGTGCACACAGTGTGTACAGTACATACAGTTCACACAGTGCGTTCAGCGCATGCAGTGTGCACAGTGCATGCACAGCACGTACAGTACATACAGTGTGCACAGCACGCGCAGTGCACACAGCGCACACAGTGCGCGCAGTGTGCGCTGTGCGTACAGTGCATACAGTGCGCACGGCGCATACAGTACATGCAGTGTGCACAGTGTGTACAGTACATGCAGTGCGTAGTGCGCACAGTGCGCACTGTACGTACAGTGCATGCAGTGCGCACAGTGCGCATGGTATGTACAGTACACACATGGTGAGTGAGTGAGTGGTGAGTGAGTGGTGAGTGAGTGAGTGGGTGAGTGAGTGGGTGAGTGGGTGGGTGGGTGGGTGAGTGAGTGAATGAGTGGGTGGGTGAGTGAGTGAGTGGGTGAGTGGGTGAGTGAGTGGGTGAGTGAGTGAGTGAGTGGTGAGTGAGTGGTGAGTGAGTGAGTGGGTGAGTGAGTGAGTGGGTGAGTGAGTGGGTGAGTGAGTGAGTGAGTGGTGAGTGAGTGGTGAGTGAGTGAGACCTGGGCACTGTGTGTGATGTCTTCACGCTGCTGCTGGCTCAGCTTAGCGAGGGCATCCGTGGGAGTTTTCTCGCACGGATCGCTCAGACCGGGACCCTCTACACACAGACACACACACAGTCACCCAGTCACACACACACACACACACAGTCACACACACACAGACACACACACACACACGTACACAGACAGACACACACAGACACACACACACAGACACACACACACAGACACACACACACAGACACACACAGACACACACAGACACACACAGACACACAGACACACACACACACAGACACACACAGACACACACACACAGACACACACAGACACACACACAGACACAGACAGACACACACAGACACACACACACAGACACACACACAGACACACACACACACAGACACAGACAGACACACACAGACACCCACACACACAGACACACACAGACACACACACACACAGACACACAGACACACACACACAGACACACACACAGACACACAGAAACACACACACAGTCACACACAGACACACAGACACACACAGACACACACACAGGTTCGATCCCTGTACCCTGTGAGATGTTGACTACCTCGCCTGGTCTACAGGAGGTCGTGGGTTAGATCCCAGACCCTGTGAGATGTTGACTACCTCGCCTGGTCTACAGGAGGTCGTGGGTTAGATCCCTGTACCCTGTGAGATGTTGACTACCTCGCCAGGTCTACAGGAGGTCTCTCACCACGCAGGATGATCCCTGTACCCTGTGAGATGTTGACTACCTCGCCTATTGTACAGGAGGTCGTGGGTTCGATCCCTGGACCCTGTGAGATGTTGACTACCTCGCCTGGTACACAGGAGGTCGTGGGTTAGATCCCTGGACCCTGTGAGATGTTGACTACCTCGCCTGGTACACAGGAGGTCGTGGGTTCGATCCCGGACCCTGTGAGATGTTGACTACCTCGCCTGGTCTACAGGAGGTCGTGGGTTAGATCCCTGGACCCTGTGAGATGTTGACTACCTCGCTTGGTACACAGGAGGTCGTGGGTTCGATCCCGGACCCTGTGAGATGTTGACTACCTCGCCTGGTACACAGGAGGTCGTGGGTTAGATCCCAGACCCTGTGAGATGTTGACTACCTCGCCTGGTCTACAGGAGGTCGTGGGTTAGATCCCTGTACCCTGTGAGATGTTGACTACCTCGCCTGGTACGCAGGAGGTCGTGGGTTCGATCCCAGGACCCTGTGAGATGTTGACTACCTCGCCTGGTACGCAGGAGGTCGTGGGTTCGATCCCTAGACCCTGTGAGATGTTGACTACCTCGCCTGGTACACAGGAGGTCGTGGGTTCTATCCCTGGACCCTGTGAGATGTTGACTACCTCGCCTGGTCTACAGGAGGTCGTGGGTTCGATCCCTGGACCCTGGGAGATGTTGACTACCTCGCCTGGTCTACAGGAGGTCGTGGGTTCGATCCCGGACCCTGTGAGATGTTGACTACCTCGCCTGGTACACAGGAGGTCGTGGGTTAGATCCCAGACCCTGTGAGATGTTGACTACCTCGCCTGGTCTACAGGAGGTCGTGGGTTAGATCCCTGTACCCTGTGAGATGTTGACTACCTCGCCTGGTACGCAGCAGGTCGTGGGTTCGATCCCAGGACCCTGTGAGATGTTGACTACCTCGCCTGGTACGCAGGAGGTCGTGGGTTCGATCCCTGGACCCTGTGAGATGTTGACTACCTCGCTTGGTACGCAGGAGGTCGTGGGTTAGATCCCTGGACCCTGTGAGATGTTGACTACCTCGCCTGGTACACAGGAGGTCGTGGGTTCTATCCCTGGACCCTGTGAGATGTTGACTACCTCGCCTGGTATACAGGAGGTCTCTCACCGTGCAGGATGATCCCTGGACCCTGTGAGATGTTGACTACCTCGCCTGGTACACAGGAGGTCGTGGGTTCTATCCCTGGACCCTGTGAGATGTTGACTACCTCGCCTGGTACACAGGAGGTCGTGGGTTCTATCCCTGGACCCTGTGAGATGTTGACTACCTCGCCTGGTCTACAGGAGGTCGTGGGTTAGATCCCTGGACCCTGTGAGATGTTGCCTACCTCGCCTGGTACACAGGAGGTCGTGGGTTCTATCCCTGGACCCTGTGAGATGTTGACTACCTCGCCTGGTACACAGGAGGTCGTGGGTTCGATCCCTGTACCCTGTGAGATGTTGACTACCTCGCCAGGTCTACAGGAGGTCGTGGGTTCTATCCCTGGACCCTGTGAGATGTTGACTACCTCGCCTGGTACACAGGAGGTCTCTCACCGTGCAAGATGATCCCTGACCCTGTGAGATGTTGACTACCTCGCCTGGTACGCAGGAGGTCGTGGGTTAGATCCCTGGACCCTGTGAGATGTTGACTACCTCGCCTGGTACACAGGAGGTCGTGGGTTAGATCCCTGGACCCTGTGAGATGTTGACTACCTCGCCTGGTACACAGGAGGTCGTGGGTTAGATCCCTGGACCCTGTGAGATGTTGACTACCTCGCCTGGTACACAGGAGGTCGTGGGTTAGATCCCTGGACCCTGTGAGATGTTGACTACCTCGCCTGGTACGCAGGAGGTCGTGGGTTAGATCCCTGTACCCTGTGAGATGTTGACTACCTCGCCTGGTACACAGGAGGTCGTGGGTTCTATCCCTGGACCCTGTGAGATGTTGACTACCTCACCTGGTCTACAGGAGGTCGTGGGTTAGATCCCTGGACCCTGTGAGATGTTGACTACCTCGCCTGGTACACAGGAGGTCGTGGGTTCTATCCCTGGACCCTGTGAGATGTTGACTACCTCGCCTGGTACACAGGAGGTCGTGGGTTCGATCCCTGTACCCTGTGAGATGTTGACTACCTCGCCAGGTCTACAGGAGGTCGTGGGTTCTATCCCTGGACCCTGTGAGATGTTGACTACCTCGCCTGGTACACAGGAGGTCTCTCACCGTGCAAGATGATCCCTGACCCTGTGAGATGTTGACTACCTCGCCTGGTACGCAGGAGGTCGTGGGTACGATCCCTGGACCCTGTGAGATGTTGACTACCTCGCCTGGTACGCAGGAGGTCGTGGGTTAGATCCCTGGACCCTGTGAGATGTTGACTACCTCGCCTGGTACACAGGAGGTCGTGGGTTCTATCCCTGGACCCTGTGAGATGTTGACTACCTCGCCTGGTACACAGGAGGTCGTGGGTTAGATCCCAGACCCTGTGAGATGTTGACTACCTCGCCTGGTCTACAGGAGGTCGTGGGTTAGATCCCTGTACCCTGTGAGATGTTGACTACCTCGCCTGGTACGCAGGAGGTCGTGGGTTCGATCCCAGGACCCTGTGAGATGTTGACTACCTCGCCTGGTACGCAGGAGGTCGTGGGTTCGATCCCTGGACCCTGTGAGATGTTGACTACCTCGCCTGGTACGCAGGAGGTCGTGGGTTAGATCCCTGGACCCTGTGAGATGTTGACTACCTCGCCTGGTCTACAGGAGGTCTCTCACCGTGCAGGATGATCCCGGATGCGAGGGTTTCCAGGACCCTACGGAGGGCCTCGCCCGGCCCCAGTGGACGTGGAGCTGTGCCCAGAGCCTTCTCACACAGCAGCTGCAAGGCCTGAGACACACACACACACAGACACATACACACACAGTCATATATATACACACACATATACATACACACACACACATACACACATACACACAGTCATATATATATACACACACATATATATACACACATACACAGTCACATATACACACATACACACACACAGTCACATACACACACAGTCATATATATACATATATACACACATATATACATACACACACAGTCACACACACATATACATACATACACACACAGTCACATATACACACATACACACACAGTCACATATATACACATACATACATACACACAGTCACATACATACACATAGTCATATATACATATATACACACATATATACATACATACACACACATACAGATACACACATACACACACATACACATATATATACACACACACACACATACAGACACACACACACAGTCACATATACACACATATACATACACACATATACACACACATACAGACACATACATACATACAGCCACACACAGTACACATACACACACAGTCACATATACATACATATACATACATACACACATACATACACATACACACATACATACAAAGACAAAGACAAAGATCCCCCGTATAGCCTTAACAGACTGTAGGGGCAAGTGCTGTTAGCGAGCACCTATGAAGGCCGGAACGGTACACGAGGGGGTGGGTGGCCAGCACCACGCCCGACCGCCTTTGTCTCCCTAGTGACGATGTTTACACACCACACCAGGTACTCATTTGAGGCTGAGTCGACCTAGGGGAGACCCGGGACCGGTTCAAATAATCGTCACTGGTGTTGGCCGTGAGCGGGAATCGAACCCGGGTCGCCAGGTTCATAGTGCAGCGTAGCGCTAACCACTACACTACCGCTCCCCACACATACATACACACACACGTAGACACACACACAGACACACATACATACACACACATATAGACACACACACAGACACACATACATACACACACATACATACAGACACACAGACACATACACACACACATATACACACACAGACACATATATACACACATATACACACACAGTCACATATACATACACACATATAAATATAGTACATACACACATATACACATACATACATACAGACACATACACACAAATACAAACACACATACACACATATATACACATACACACACATATACACATACACACACACATACACACAGTGACATATACACACACACACACATACACAGACACATATACACACACAGACACATATACACACATATACACACACATACACACACACACAGACACACACACATACATACACACACAGACACACACACATACATACATACACACATATACATACACACATACAGACACACATAGTCACATATACATACATACACACAGTCACATACACACACAGTCACACACAGACACACACACACAGTCACATACACACACACACATACACACACAGTCACACACAGACACACACAGTCACATACACACACACATACACACACACATACACACAGACACGCACACAGTCACATACACATACATACACACAGTCACATACACACAGACATACACAGACACACACACACACAGACACACAGACATACACACAGACACGCACACAGTCACATACACATACATACACACAGTCACACACACAGACACACACAGACACACACAGACACACACACACATACACACACACACAGACACACACACATATACATACACACACGCAGACACACACGATTATGATGATGCAGTGCATTGTGGGTCTGTGATGATGTCACGGCGCAGTGCATTGTGGGTCGGTGATGATGATGTCACGGCGCGGTGCATTATGGGAAGGTAATGATGATGTCACAGCGCGGTGCATTGTGGGACGGTGATGATGATGATGTCACAGCGTGGTGCATTGTGGGTCTGTGACGATGACGATGTCACGGCGCGGTGCATTGTGGGACGGTGATGAAGACGTCACGGCGCGGTGCATTGTGGGTCTGTGACGATGACGATGATGTCACGGCGCGGTGCATTGTGGGTCTGTGATGAAGACGTCACGGCGCGGTGCATTGTGGGTCTGTGACGATGATGACGATGTCACAGCGTGGTGCATTGTGGGTCTGTGACGATGACGATGACGTCACGGTGCGGTGCATTGTGGGTCTCACCCATCCCTGGAGCGGTGCCCAAATGGGAATTCGATTGCAGACGTCCCTGATGACCCGGATGACCACAACACACGACTTGAGTGGGTTCGCTCTTGCCTGGGGAAGGCACGCACACGCTAGCGACACGCTAACAACACGCTAGCGACACGCTAACAACATGCTAAGGGCACGCTAGCGACACGCTAGCGACACACTAGCTACACGCTAGCTACACGCTAACAACACGATAGCTACACGCTAGCTACACGCTAAAGGCACGCTAGCTACACGCTAGCGACACGCTAACAACACGATAGCTACACGCTAGCTACACGCTAGCGACACGCTAACGACACGCTAACAACACGATAGCTACACGCTAGCTACACGCTAAAGGCACGCTAGCTACACGCTAGCTACACGCTAGCGACAGGCGAACAACACGCTAAAGGCACGCTAGCGACACGCTAGCGACACGCTAGCTACACGCAAAAGACACGCTAGCTACACGCTAACAACACGCTAAAGGCACGCTAGCGACACGCTAGCGACACGCTAGCTACACGCTAGCTACACGCTAAAGGCACGCTAGCTACACGCTAGCTACACGCAAAAGACACGCTAGCTACACGCTAACGACACGCTAACGACACGCTAACAACACGCTAAAGGCACGCTAGCGACACGCTAGCTACACGCTAACGACATGCTAGCTACACGCTAGCGACACGCTAACAACACGCTAAAGGCACGCTAGCGACATGCTAGCGACACGCTAGAGACACGCTAGCTACACACTAGCTACACGCTAGCTACACGCTAACGACACGCTAGCTACACGCTAATGGCACGCTAGCGACACGCTAGCTACACGCTAAAGGCACGCTAATGACACACTATCGACACGCTAACGACACGCTAGCTACACGCTAGCGACACGCTAACGACACGCTAACAACACGATAGCTACACGCTAATGGCACAATAGCTACACGCTAAAGGCACGCTAACGACACGCTAGAGACACGCTAGCTACACGCTAATGACATGCTAGCGGCACGCTAGCAACACGCTAGCTACACGCTAAAGGCACGCTAGCGACACGCTAGCTACACGCTAAAGGCACGCTAGCGACACGCTAGCTACACGCTAAAGGCACGCTAATGACACACTATCGACACGCTAACAACACGATAGCTACACGCTAGCGACACGCTAACGACACGCTAACAACACGATAGCTACACGCTAGCTACACGCTAACGACACGCTAAAGGCACGCTAGCTACACGCTAGCTACACGCTAGCGACACGCTAACAACACGCTAAAGGCACGCTAGCGACACGCTAGCGACACGCTAGCTACACGCTAAAGGCACGCTAGCTACACGCTAGCTACACGCAAAAGACACGCTAGCTACACGCTAACGACACGCTAACGACACGCTAGCTACACGCTAAAGGCACGCTAGCGACACGCTAGCTACACGCTAACGACATGCTAGCGACACGCTAGCGACACGCTAGCGACACGCTAACAACACGCTAAAGGCACGCTAGCGACACGCTAGAGACACGCTAGAGACACGCTAGAGACACGCTAGCGACACGCTAGCGACACGCTAGGGACACGCTAAGGACACGCTAAGGACACGCTAGCGACACGGTAGAGACACGCTAGAGACACGCTAGCTACACGCTAGCTACACGCTAACGACACGCTAGCTACACGCTAATGGCACAATAGCTACACGCTAAAGGCACGCTAACGACACGCTAGAGACACGCTAGCTACACGCTAATGACATGCTAGCGGCACGCTAGCAACACGCTAGCTACACGCTAAAGGCACGCTAGCGACACGCTAGCTACACGCTAAAGGCACGCTAATGACACACTATCGACACGCTAACGACACGCTAGCTACACGCTAGCTACACGCTAACGACACGCTAGCTACACGCTATCGACACGCTAACGACACGCTAGCTACATGCTAATGACACGCTAAAGGCACGCTAGAGACACGCTAGCTACACGCTAACGACACGCTAGCTACACGCTAATGACACGCTAAAGGCACGCTAGCTACACGCTAGCGACACGCTAAAGGCACGCTAGCGACACGCTAGCTACACGCTAATGACACGCTATCGACACGCTAATGACATGCTAGCTACACGCTAGCGACACGCTAAAGGCACGCTAACGACACGCTAGCGACACGCTAACGACACGCTAGCTACACGCTAATGACACGCTAGCTACACGCTAGCGACATGCTAAAGGCACGCTAACGACACGCTAGCGACACGCTAACGACACGCTAGCTACACGCTAACACACTCACTAACACACTCACTAGTAAGCTAACACACTCACTAACACACTCACTAACACACTAACACACTCACCAACACACTAACACACTAACAATAAGCAAACACTAACACACTAACACACTCACTAACACACTAACAATAAGCTAACACACTAACACACTCACTAACACACTCACTAACACACTCACTATCACACTAACACACTCACCAACACACTAACACAATATCAATAAGCTAATACACTAACACACTCACTAACAGACTAACAAACTAACACACTCACCAACACACAAACACACGGACAATAAGCTAACACACTCACTAACACACTAACACACTCATTAACACACTAACATTAAGCTAGAACACTCACTAACACACTAACAATAAGCAAACAACACTAACACACTAACAATAAGCTAATACACTAACACACTAACACACTCACTAACACACTCACTAACACACTCACCAACACACTAACACACTAACAATAAGCTAATACACTAACACACTCACTAACACACTAACAAACTAACACACTCACCAACACACAAACACACGGACAATAAGCTAACACACTAACTCACTCACTAACACACTCATTAACACACTAACAATAATCTAACACACTCACTAACACACTAACACACACAATAACACACTAACAATAATCTAACAACACTAAAACAGTAACAAACACACTAACAAACTCACTAACACACTCACTAACACACTCACTAACACACTAACAATAAGCTAACACTCACTAACACACTAACAATAAGCTAACAACACTCACTGACACACTAACAATAAGCTAACACACTAACAAACTCACTAACACACTAACACACTCACTAACACACTCACTAACACACTAACACACTAACAATAAGCTAACACGCTAACACACTAACAATAAGCGAACATCAACAACCGCCATTCGCCAATAAGTGGCGGTGACGTCACCACGACGCTTGTGGCAACCTGCTGTGCTTTAGCCACCCGGCGCTCCGCTCGTTGTTGTGAGCGTCGCTCCTCCGCCCTCCGTTGTTGTTGGAGGGCGACTGCCTCCAACTGCCCAGTAGCGTCCTTCACGAGCCTCCTCCACAGAGGCCGATCTTGACACCGCTGGTACCAGTCATCGGCAAGTCCACTCAGCTCCACGTCCTCCTGTACCACATCACTCCATCTCTTCTCTAGCCCGTGCCGCGCCCGCTTAGACCCCTCAATCCGGCCAAACAAAAGCTGTTTCGGCATGCGGTGGCTGGGCATGCGGGCTACATGACCCAGCCATCGCAGCCTTCCCAGCCGGAGGAGCTCACCGATGGGACCTTGCCCAGACCTTTCAAGGATTTGTGAGCTCCTCACGCAATCCAGTCTGGTTAAACCCAGGATGGATCGTAGGCAGGCCAGCCTAAATGTTTCTAACCGGCGAAGATGTTCCATTAGGGGGGTCCACGTTTCGCAAGCGTAGAGAAGGGAGGGAATGACCGTGGCTGAGAAGACCTGAAGGCTTAGTGCGGAGCGACAGACCAGGTAGCTTCCACACAGCAGTTACGCAACCGATGAAAAGATATTGCCGCTCGACTGATTCGGAGTGAGACCTCTGCTGTTAAACTGGAGCCAGTCATAAGCACACTGCCCAGGTATGGGAAACTCTCCACTCTCTCCACAACTGCCCCATCACCGATTGGGAGCTGTGGGGGTGGAGTGTCCGATGGTACAAAATACCCAGGCAGGTGCTTAGTTTTGATGGGGCTGATGGTAAGGCCAGTCTCAGCAGTAGCGTCTCCAACTCCTCCTCTGAATGAGCAGCTATTACCAAATCATCAGTATACATAACGTGGTTGAGCAATAGGGAGCCATCCCTTGACCGCACCCGGGCATCGATCAGCCTCCCATTGTATCTGTACCATATGGAGATTCTTTAATGATCGTGTGCAGCGGGTCAGGGACTCCGAAAGCACGAAGAACAACCCAGAGCCCAGGCCTACTGATGGTATCATAGGCCTTGACCAGGTCAATAAAGCAGAGATGTAGGTCTTGCTGGAATTCCCTACACCTCTGCTGTAGCAGACGGACAGAAAATATGGCATCTGTGCAGGACCGCCCTTTCCTGAAACCGCATTGAGGCTCCGAAAGCCTCTCCTCAGCGTGCCTGGCAAGGCGATGTTGAATAATCCTTGCCAGGGCCTTTCCCGGCACACTGAGGAGTGAGATGCCCCTGTAGGTGTTACAGTCTGTGCGGTCCCCCTTCTTAAAGAGGGGGACCACCAGGGCATCCTTCCAATCCTGCGGAACCCATCCAGTGGTCCAGACTGTTGTTATGATGTCATGTAGGGCAGTCTGTGCACAAACGCCACCCTCCCTCAGCATTTCGCTTGGGAGATCATCTCTGCCCGCTGCCTTTCCTGGTCTCAGACTCCGGATCGCCTTCCGTACTTCCTCAACAGATGGCACCTCAGCCAGCCACTCACAGGGGGTGACTTCTTCCAATATTTGAGGCACCGCAGCCTCAGCAGGGTCATCCCCACTTTGTGCCACGATGTTTTCCTGGCTGAGGGATTTTCTCTTCCCCAGGACCTCACAGAAATCTGCAAACCTGTTCCTGGGGGTCGGAGATTGGACCACCGTTTTTTCCCCTAATGATGGTAATAGGTGTGGTGCTGCAGGTTACTTTTTGATGGCGTTAAAAAGAGATTTGTGATCGCGGGCCACTGAGGCAGACTCCATCTCCTCAGCAACCCGCGACCACCACCCATCCTTGCA